GTTTCAGTCTTGTTGGCCAATTCTACAACATGCTATGCTTAACAAACTCCAGAAAAAAGTGACTTTATTAGGAAATGTTTTTAAGAAAAATAATAATTGCAATCCACAAAATGTTTGGTTTAATGTGCAGTAGAATACCCATAGTGCAAGTTAAGGTACAAATTAATTGTAGAAAGTGCAATTCTAGAGAAAGGCAATAACACCGAAAAAGAGCAAAAGATTTGAGCGAATTTCTGTGTTTTAAAATATTCAGTTTTTGTCATGAAGAATTGAGCTTTTTCAGATTATGAGTACCTTAACTTGTTCCTCAGGAAATTTCGGTCCAGGACACCACTGAATGAAATATTTACGCTTTCAAAATGTCAAATGATACATTTCCTCATACCACATTTCCTGCCAAAAAGTGAAACTGAGAAAAAGGCATTTGAAGTTTCAACTTTAGGTGTCTTTCTTTTCTGTGAGTCTGAGGTAGGCAAAACTCACGTGGAGCATTGTTAGCTCCTTCCTCTTTAAAACTTGGTTGTTTCCCCGGCAATAGCTACCAGTTTGTGTTGTTTGCAGGCAAGCTAACATTTGTAGCAGGCATTCCTCGACAGATAAAATGGCAAGAACTAAGAGGCAAATCATACTAAGTAAGAGCAACAAAGCAGAAATAAGATCTGAAGTGGAAGATAATGTGAAAGGGTGTTACTGAAGATGGCACAATATCACGTCCCTGGGCAGGGCCAATCGTAAACCTGTTTCGGGTCTCAACCAGTAAGATTGCTCATACCAAATTGTTTGGATTTTTTCTGTTTGGATGTGTAGGGTTTTCCTAGCCATTGATATTTTTAAACTTGGAAAGCTTCTACAGGCTTAATCTAGAGTAAATGATGCTTCCAATGAGGGAGAGATCTTCTGGCTATGTTAAACGAGTATGAAGCAGTGCCAAATAAAAAATGCAAAATACTTGTTCCCTGCTGGCTCGGAGGGCTGCCGACATGACGAAAATAATTTATTGCGAGATAAACCTTGGATTTTTATAAATGAAAGTTTCTTAAACCATTCTTTGGTAGTTAATAAACATAAACATACCATTCTTGAAAAAAAAATCTTTTTTCTGAAAAATTTGAATTCTGAGGCCATGTCCCCCCTTAAATACGTCTTATGGGAATCTGTGGAGAAATCACAATTTGTTCGTTAAATCATGAATTTTGTAAAATCGTGTTTTATAAAATTGAGTTTCAAGTGTAACCCGGATCGAAGCACCCCCCCCTTCCCCCCTCGCTGCCAACCACAAAACTGCCACGATATCGGGAGTATGTCGGTTTGGGCTCAGATGGCCATACCTGGAACATTGCACCGCGCCATGTTTTAGATAACCGACGCCAGATTGGGGCAACCAATCGATATTGGATCTTGCTCGCACGGTCTGCAACGCGGGGCATGTTGTGTGGGGGAGCAGGACATAAACAACACAAAAAATTGGGGGGGGGGGCGGTGGCGGGGTGACGCTTCAATATTGCTCACGCGTACTAAAAGAAGACAAAAACGCACACTTGACATCCGTCGGCACGAGAGACTTGCACAAACACTGCCTAAAGATCTGATACGAAACGCCTCAAAAACCTCCCGTGGCCTTGCTCGGTCATTCTCTCCAAAATCTCGGTGCTTTTCAACGCGGGAGAGTGTCTACATCGTTCACAAATTAATGTACTGCGAAATGCCACGACAGAGGCACGTATGCAGGCTGCAAGCTCTACCCAAATGAGCTTCTGCTACTTTAGGGCCGATGTCTTGATACGGAAGCATGTTTCAGAATCGCTTTGTAGTCAAAACGATCCCTGCAATTAAATTATTTTGCAATATTTGGAAAAAAAATTTTTTTTTTTTTTCCAATTGGTGTTATTATTGCGCCAAAAAAAAGATTGGGGCTAGTTGATATTTGGATTTCAAGGGAATGGTAGCGCTTTTAGACGAGTACGAAGAGAGAGAAGACACAGCACTCGTATGTGTCTTGTCTCTTCTTTGTCCTCGTGTAAAAGCGCTACCATGTTGCGCCAAAACTAACCGAAAAAGTTTTTTTGTTTAAGCTATATCTTTCTTTTGTTGACCAGAGTGGTTTACCGTTTTGTGTTCGTCTAGGTAATTCTGAACCAATAGGGACTTTTAGCAAATCGCTACCGTGTTCCGCGTGACCGCGGGGCACATGCAAAGGCTCCGGTAGTGCAGAACGCGGAACACTAACGATTTGCTAAAAGTCCCTGTTGTTATAAAACCACCAGATCGATGTATCTGATCTCCGAAAATGGGACATACATGTGTCCCATTGTTGGAGTACTCATCAGTATTTCGACAAACAATGAAACGATGCCTCGAGGCATCGTTTCGTCGTTCACCGACTTACTTTTTCTTTTTTTGCACAGTGGCACTGAGCATGGCCGCATGTACTCAAAATACCACAAACACGCATTAAATCACATTTCCCGTAAAGCCTCGTGTAAACACCCGCCCCCAAAAAATCACCCATCCCGTTTTGTTTTTTTTAAATCACATTTACCGCGTGATCTGCGGCATTGGTACGGGACAAGCGTGTTTGCTGCAGGCTTCGTCGTGCTCATTGCACTGTGACACGCAAATCTGCACCATCTGCAACATCCATTCTTTAGGAAATCGCATACCGCCGCCGATTCGCCATTTCCCACGTGGTCCGTCAACAAACTGAGTCCAGCCTGGTTCTTTCACGGGAGCGGGATTCCGCTCTCCGTTTATTGGTGCAATAAAAAACAACGCTACAAAACACTCTATCTAAACTAAAAATGCACGCAACAATGCACAAATATTTACATACGCACGTTAAGCCCAAAGCTAAACACAAAGAGGGTCGCCAGGCCTCGTGTCCCGCGATATCCTGGATCCGGTCGCCGCCCACCTGCCTGCGTCTCGGTCTCGTCCGAAGTTCTAAGAGGCCGTTCGCCCCGGCCCACCGAGTATATATCTATCGAAGGGTGAGGAGGTTTCTCCTCGCCCACCACGGGGCGCCTGCAGCGCCATCCAGTGGCTAGGAGAAAAAGCGGCACGTCGGGAGCCGAATTTGAGATCCCGATTGACCCCGCGGCAACATGACCATCTGATCGTCTCTGAGGCGAGGTAGCTACATAGCTGCCTTGCGGCCAAGATTGGCAAAAGGATTTAATGGGCGCCCTCATGAATGCACGGTGCGCCATAGTTTCTATGACATGCAAATTCCTAACTCATTCCCACATTTTTTTTTCTTGTCCGCGTTTTTTGCGCGCAATATCAATTCCCGTGGCATCCGAGTTTGTAGCGGCCGCGGTTCTTGCTTGTATATCGCCCTGTAAAGCACGAATGCGCTGCGTCCTCGTTCTGCTGCCGTACCCCCTTGACAGGGGAGTTAATAGCGAATTCCCACATACTTACCGCACGCGCGAGTTCGCCATGTCTGCGACATGTATCATTAATGAAAATACAGTGATGGTTACTCATGATGTTTAAAACCTGAAACTGTATTGAGTGAAAAAATTAGGAAACTGAAGTCGAAGAGTTCCCGTTTCATGTAGCTTGTAGTGCCCTGTGCCCCCCCCCCCCCCAACACACAGGCACACACACATATACTATTTTTCTTTTCATTTTGGGTGGGCGTTCTTTCAGGACCTTACAGTATAATATAAATGTACCTGAGAACCTGCTGGCGCGTGTTCACCTTATCATCTAATCTCTGGCGAAAGCAATAACTACTCTACAAAATTAAACAAACAGTTCACATAATATTTTACTTTTTGGATGTTTGGGGCGTGTGCTTTTGCTGAGACCGCTTCCGCGCTCGTCACTCGTGTCGTAAATGTAACGTATAAGAGCGATAATTGGTTACCTCAATCATCTGTAGACTTTCTTGTAAATGACGTACGTGCCGAATACACCCACTGGCACACAAACAGTAAGTCGGCAGGAGGACGAGAACAGTGGGACTGTCCTGCTGGGCGAAGCAAATTCTGAACCGTTCTGCTAGAACGCATTCAAGCAATTGACTTGTGAGGAAAATCTTGCGTTTATGGTCCTACTTGCTAGTTTTGCCAGTCACATTTCTTTTTATTGAACTCCTAGACAAGACTTTTTTCAGTTGGTTACGCCTGTTCTAGTAAGGGTTAATTAAGTGTGTATCTATGAGCAGGGATAGTATCGTGAAGTTTTCAATATTTTGCATTTCCGTTTTTATCAGATAGGGTAGATTTGTAATCTTTTGAGTATTGGAATACTTTCGTTTGCAAAACAGGGACTTGGAACATCTGTATTTCCTAATAATAGAAACTGTAGTCAGTATTGGACTTTATTTCATACCATACTGTTTCATTTTGAAATGGTTTAGTTTTCAACTTATGGAACATGTGATTTAGGTTGTTAAATAGGCACAATGTTTTATTTGCATGAGGCTTAAGCTGTGCTTTTTTTGTTGACTATGCCTTCTATTGTAAATCCATGAGAAGAACCAACCCACTACCTGGACAGTTCTCAGTAGCTGCCATTCAAATATTTTTTGTGCTACCGGCTCGAATATTTAAGGAAAGGGTGCGTTTGTAAATGGTTCTGGAACGTCGCATGGAAATGCTTTTTCGTCAATATTTCTTGTATATAGAAAAACACATCTGCCCTTAGAGCCCCGAGTTTGACCTGGGTGACCAGCTCCAAGTTGTTTTTATACAGCTACAAACTCGGCCTTTGTTGCTCCTGAGCTGTTTCACAGCAGAACTTTTACTGCTTCAAAGCTGCTCCAAAGGGGCATGTTTCTGCTCCCAGACCTGCTCCAAAAGGCTGAAGCTTGCTTCCACCCCTGAGTTATGCATCAATGAGTGACTCCACTAAAAGAGCGCTTAAACTGAAAAGAATTCAGTGTGGGAAATTTGGGACCCCGGGGAACTCTGGGGAAGGAAACCCAGATCGAGAACTTGCGAGCCCTAGGCAGGGCATTGTAGAGAGTCTCATGGGATGAACGACCGGTGCAGGAACTGTGTCGGGAGAGGCACGGGGTGGACCTGACGTCCCTGGACCACGTGCCGGGGGGCAAGACAGAGAAGTACCTGGGCAACCTCGACTTCTTCTTCATCCGGGAGAGCACCGGCATACGGGAGGTGGGTGGGGAGCCCGGGAAACCCTCTAAACTGTTTCGTACCAAGGCCCGTCTGCATAATGCGCGTCGTGCGAGCGAGACATCTTTGGTACGGGACATGGTGACGCATAGCTATGTGACGGTGCCTGCGTCTCCGACCAACGGGTTTACCACCTCCTAAAACGTGGTCCCCCGACTTCCACCTGACGATGCAGTGGCTCAACGGTCCACCAGAGCTTCGGCAGCCGGGAGTCGGGATGCGCGACAACAGCTGCACTCGCAATCCCTCATGCTTTTTAAAGTGTGAAATGCTTTCTAACGGAGCCTCCCAATCTCAAAAGTTTGTTGGTCCGTCCGTTCATCTGCGCATTTCCTGCTTAATTTTGTAAAGAACCGAATTGGTGTTTAGGTCCCGCGGTGTCAATTGATGTCACGTGACCTGACATTGCGTGATCTATACGCCAATTAGGTCGCCCCGCCAAATTTCGCGGGAAAATTGATGTCATGTGACTTACAGGCGCCGGGCGGGGTTCCAGAGCGTGCCAGTGCCACTCGATCGCCGGCAGCACCGTGGCCAAATGAGACAACGCCGGAAAGGCTGAAATCGGCAGCGACGCTGGCGACGCAATGTTTTTATTACCAATGCCACGCATTCTGTCGTCGCGCTATAGTAATGGTTGTTTTCAAAATGTTTCAAAAGCTAAATATATTAATATGTATGCACGTATAATTGTGATTCTAACGGATGCTTTCCTCAATAGGGTGAGACAATCCAAAACAGAAACTGGCGAAACAAAATTGAATGTATCAATATTATTGCCCAATTTCAGTGGAAGCAGGTAGACCAGGGCAGTTTTCTTCTTTTTTTTTTTGTTTGCACGTGTCTCAAAAGCATAAAAGCAAATACTTTGTCGCGCTTGCCTGCTCTACAAAAGCGGAGCTCCTCACCCTCAACGGTCCTACTACTTTTAGGGGCGAAGCTCCTTAGGGTCTAGCCTTGTCCGTCCGGCGTCCGTGCTCACATCGATCTTGCTGGTGCTCATGAGCTCACGTGCTCGTGTAGGGCAAAAAATAAAATAAAAAAGATAAAAAAAAATGTTTGCACAGTCAACAGCATTCGAACCTGTGCGGGGAGACCCCAATGAATTTCTAGTCCATCGCCTTAAACACTCGGCCTCGACTGCGGGACAAGTAGGGGGCTCTAAGATGTGGTAGTAACTCAAGAACTGGGATTTCTGTCATGGATGAAACGTTGCATGTAGCCGCTCAACGTCTATACAGGAGAGGGCGCTGCGGTCAAATGCGTATATAATCGCATTAAACTTTGCATGCATTGGCTCAACGTTTATAGACGAGAGGGCGCTGCAGTCAAATGCTCAAAAAATCAGTATCATCAGCTCCCACCAGAGCTTCGCCCCAATCAACATCATTCACCACGTGGAGATGCCGTCATTTTTTGAATAGCTGGAAGCTAAATCTGCCTGCGCAATAAAATCGTGCAAACACGGTAATATCAACTTGTGATAGCTTTTTCTAGAATATACTAAAATTATAAGAATGGTTTTGTTGCACACTCTACTGTTTGCACAACTATGCCGACACAGTACGCTGTGCCATACTTTTTGATGGTAGATGGAGTTGTAAAAAAGTTGACTGGAAACATTTGCGATGAAGTTAAGATTTTCTTAAAAACTATAATATACAGGAAAGCAACGAGCTTATGTTCGTGCTTAGCTCAGAAAATTAAAGGAGATGTCAAAATTTATTATAAATTAGATAAAACATTAAAAAAAATTGAAGGACTTCTTTTTTAATGCAGAATATGTTATTTGATTGGTTCCTTCTGGTGATGCACTTGTGCGACAGAAGAGCCTCGCACGATAGCTGCGTGTCCCATCTGGGTCCCTCTCCTGCAGGTAATGTAGAAAGTCCAGTGCATCGTTAAGGGGCCCACACAGTCATTTTTCTGCTGTCAATAGATATCGCTTACGATTATTTCTGTACATTTGTAAGCTATGAAACACACATCTTTTCCCCACGCAAAGGTGGTTTCAGAAACAATTTGAAAAAAAACTAGCACTTCAACTTGCCAAGAAACTGCGTGATCTGGAGCCGATTATGTGCTGCCAATGTTTGTCGTAGCCGCACGCTGGGGTTGGCAAAATGCGCGGCACGCGCCGAGTCCGGCATGTCGCAGCGATTGGGCACGAGGTGCTACCCGAAGGCTTGTCGAGGCATTGATTGTCGCGAGCCCACATCAACTGTCCACGCGGTGCTCACGTTCACTGTACGAGTCGCCCATTTAAATACCCTCACTATGGGAATGGAAGCTCGATGACGAGATTCTGGGGACTGCATTGTTCACAAACCTAACATTGCGATTCCTACAGCTTTGTCATCAAGTTTTGCGAAGGAAAGACTGAAAGAAAATGATCCCGCCTTTATCCTTGAAACACGCTGTAAGAAAGCCTTGGTCAGTGGTGTTGTGTGCAAGTACCGTATTTACTCGCACAATGAACGCACTCGCGTAATGAACGCACCACCCAAGTCGGCTCTCAAAATTTCGGCTTTTTTTTCACTCGCGTAATAAACGCACCCCCAACGGACGTCAAAATTTTGACCCCCTCCCCCCACGCGCGCGAAATGAACGCACTTTTCTATCCTGGTGCAGCGAGGTCGCGAATGCATGGGCAGCGTGGGCGAACAAAACGCCTTGAGGCGTTAAAAAAAATTCGCAAAGATCCAACGGAAGCAAGAAAAAAAAACATGGAGGAGCTTTTTTTCTTTTGCGCAGCGCGCAGTCTGGACTTTGGATTCGCGCGCCGCCGCGCGCAAGGAGGTAAGAAGGAGAAGCGCTCTAAGCGAACGAAACAACTTGCGAAAGGCCGCAAAAAGAAAAAAAAAAAGCACCACTAAGAGAAAAGAAAAACAAAGGAGCTTTTTTTTTCTGCTTTTTTTTTTCCACAGCGCAGTTTGGTTACGGGGGTCGCGCGCCGCGCGCAAGGAGGTATGAAAAAGGAGCGGAGAAGCCCTCAAAACAAACGAAACAGCTTGCGAAAAGCTGCAAAAAGTAAAAAAAAAAAGAAACACGGAACTGAAAACAAAAAAAAAAAGAGGAGCTTTTTTCTTTTTTTTTTTTTTTTTGCACAGCGCAGTTCGGTTATGAGTGTCGCGCGCCGCGCGCAAGGAGATAAGCAACGCCTAAGCAAACAAAACAACTTGCAAAAAGGGGCAAAAAGAAAAAAAAAAGAAACAAGGAACCAAAAAAAAAGTTTCTTTTTTTTTTTTTGCACAGCTTAGTTTGGTTACGGGGTCGGGCGCCGCTCGCAAAGAGATAAGAAGTTACTTCGATCTTTCAGGATCTTTCAGGATAAATGATCGTTCATTATGCGAGTAAATACGGATGCAAAAATTTTACTTCGCCTAATGAACGCCCCCCTAACTTTGCATCGATTTTTCGGAAAAAAAAGTGCGTTCATTCTGCAAGTAAATAGGGTATACTTGGGTCCCACAAGTGCTGCCGTATTTTCTGGTGTGTAAGACACACTTTTTTTCCGAACTTTTCGGTGGTGCGTCTTATATACCAATTTTTACTTAGAAACTTGCGAAAAGTGGGGGTGCATCTTATACACAGGTGCGTCTTATACAGCGGAAAATACGGTAGTTAGCTGTTGTAAAATGAGAATCATTCCCACCGAATATCGTCGCACAACCCCTTTAGGGCCCATTCATGGCCCTAAAGGGCCGCGAATGGGCCTTTTAGGGGACTTTGTTACGTTCTGACACGATTTTGAGTCCCCAACATACTCCTGGCAAGTCGTTTCTCGCCAACAGTGCTGGCAGTCTAAGTGCCTTTGGGTCTAAATTGCCAAGCAAGTGCCAGATTTATGTTTTGCCGTTTCTAGCAAGCCAGAGTAAGGCCATAGAAGTTCCGAAGAAAGTACTAACGCCTTGGACCAAAGCCAGGCCCCAGTGAGACCCCCAGGATTGCCAAGCTCGTGCCAAGTTGGGCGTTGCTCCAACTTTCTACTCGGGCCCTTTGACGGCCTGACGTTCCCACCCCCGCAGGAGGGCGGCCTGAACGGCTTCGTCCAGGGATTCATGACGGAGATCCTGGCCATCGTGCGGGCCCACGTCTCCTCCCTGGGGGGCAATGCCGTGGTGGCCTTTCGCATGACCCAGTGCGTCCTGCTGCACAACCCACACAAGAACCAGGTGACTGCCCGCCTTGCTCCGGGGTGGCTAGCCGGGGCGTCGATGCCGATATGACTGTGCAAATATACTCCCGAGGCACACGTCGGTGTCGAAAGAAGACGCTTGCAAGTTTTGCTAGAATGTCGTCTATGTGTGTTTCTTGGGGGACTGAGTTGAGGAAAACACAGTTAGGGGAAACAGAAGGATTTACAAAGCTTTCGGTGACCCATAGATGAAAGGGGAGGCGGCTCTCGTGTAACAATTTTTTGCTCGGGCTTTCGTGGCATTGGAGAACTTCCCTGTACGACCAAAAAGTGGGTGATGTTTTTTGTTCGGAAGTGTCGTCTTAAATTGGAGGTCTTTTTAGAGCGAAGAGTGTCGACCCCTGAGAGGGCCAGATTTCCATGCACGTCGAGCTCGGCCAAACGCTTCCCCATGTCAAACTCTGCTTCGGGTGCGCCGGGGCAAAAAGGCAAGCTCGACGTGCTTGCAAAACGCAAATATAAATTTCAAACTCTGTTTGAAACGAAACCAAAGAAGCTGAGCTTGCCAGACGTCGGAGAAAGGGGCAATGAACCGGCCTTTCACCCGATCGAAGGTCACGCCCACCCGGGCAAGAACGGTTACTGGATGCGCCATCAATTTCTCCGCGGCACGCCACACGCCAAGGTGGTCGTTGCGCCCTGGCGAACACCCAGAGTGAGTTCCTCGAGTCCCCACGACATGGACTCGAGTTGAGCTCTCAGATCGTTGCACCCTCTCCCTCCGGGGACTCTCAGGACTTCTCGGTGTCCTCAGACACTGGCGTTCTCGACCGTCGAGCCACGAGCGACCGGGCAAGGCTCGATTCCGGAAAGACAGAGAGTAGCTTCGTAGATTAACTGCGACGAAGATGGGTTGCCATCTTTACTCCAAAGATCCTTGGCCGTCCTCACTGCCTAATTTCTTTCCCAGTTTGACTGCAAGAAGGCCATAACACTGCTAATCGCCGAGAAATTGAGAACAACGGGGCACGTCTTCGCAATGCCTCCAGTACGCTCTCTATGGCTTCCGCCAAGCTTGGGCTATGCACGCACACTCGAGGTGCCCGAGACGTCGTTGAAGGTAGGAAGCTTGCGCTGCGGGGCGACCGAAGCTCCTTCCCGCTCACATTTGAGGGGAAGTGCACGCGCCAACGAGCCGGCTTCTACATGGTCTATGATTGAGCACACCAAACTGGGCCCATTTGTAGACTATGTGTTGAAACCGTAACGCATAAGCACGCGAAACCACAGGGGAGCCGAGTCGCTTTCCTGTTTGTCGAACATTCAATAAATGCCAGCTACGTCTAGCGATAATGCACGCGCTAACTTTGGAAGCGGGACGATTGTCTTGCGTCTCAGGACCAGACCCGTCAGCCATCGACACGCCACTTTTGCGCAACCTCACACTTTCCCGAGTCCCGCGCCAACATCCCTGGGAGAAAATACCGCACCCCTGGTGCATCATCGGTCGATCGGCGAGGTTTCTTCTGCCAGAGGGCACCGAAGTGTCTTCATCGGAAGTGCAAACGGAATGGCCGGGCATGTTAACTTTTGAACCGCTCACTCAATCGGGGTGATATCTGCAGATGGTTTTTGTAACCATATACTAGAAGGAGTGCATGCAAAGTTTTAGCCATGTGAACCAGTTTTATGAGGTACCATACCCCCAGAACGAAGTAAAGCGTAGCTTTGCATGGAATCTGCCCAATAAATCTATCGTTGAGAAATGGTGTTGAACACCACATATTTTTCTGGTGGAATACATACTGGAATACCTGTTGCCGGTTGCTTAAAAAAAGTTATGAAAAAAAATGTTTTTTTATGTTTATTAAGTTTTGCAAAAGGCAATTTTTCATGATAAAGGAACATGAAAATGCAAAAATATAAGTTCATAGTAACCGGCTCCATAAGATTTTGGTATATTAGCCGCAAAAATTAAGTCTCGATTGTTTCATGCTGCAGCGATAGATTCATTGAAGGACACACGCAAAGGAAAAAAAAATTTTTTTTAAACATCTTATTTGGAAAAAGGATATAAAACGATTTTACAACGAAGAAGAAAAACTTTATAGCTATATTTACGGCCCCATACGAATTTGTAGTTGGCGCCCGCGGGCGCCGCGGATATGTGGCCCTTATTTATCACGTGATGGGCCCTTATTTATCACGTGGTACTTGCGCTCTTTCGGAAGCTTCCTATGGCCTCTAAAAGTAACTTATTTATCTTTGTTTGAAGTGTAACAAAAAATCTAAGATTAATAAGTAACTTTTAGAGCCCAGAGGAAACTCCTAAAAAAGTGCAAGCAGACATGATAGACCTGTGCGCCGGTCGGTGACGCCCCGAAGCAGACGAACTTGTGCGGCGGCAGCGACGGCGGTGTTGAGAAACGCGTTGAAGCTGCGTCGCACAACGCTCAGCGTGCGGCGGCGGCGTGACTGTGCGGCGGCAACGACGCAGCGCGGCGGCGCGCGGGCCTACCACGTGACCAGCGGCGGCTCCCGCGGGCGCCAACTACAAATTTGTTTTGCGCCGTACATATAGCTCTAATTTTTTTTTCTTCGTTGTAAATTCATTTTATAATCTTTTTCCATCTAGCCTGTTTAAAAAAAAAAGTTTCTTTTCCTTTGCATGTGTCCTTTTAGTGAAATTTATACTAAAAAGTGGAACCGAGAAAAACGTGTTTAAAGTGCTTGAACCTCTACTTTTTCTTTAGCGTCGGCGGACTGAAAATAATTTATGCAAAAATAACTATGATGTGTAAATAAATGAAACTTTCGGGGAATGCCCTCTAGAAATTTACAAATGTAAATATTAGGGGTGTGTGAATGCTCTAATATACAAATTCGAATTGAATAGAAAGTTACCGAATAATTCGATTCACGAATCAAATTCGTAGTATTCGGTCACTCGAATATTCGACAAATTCGGCCAAAGACGCGCGGGGGCGCGTTTTCTTTTTCTCCCGATGTAAGCGCCATGATGTTAGACAGACCATGCGAAAAACAGCTCTTGGTCCTACCATTCCACAAAAATATAACGCACAGGTTAGAAAAAAAGAAAAGTAACGAACGCCACAAACTTTATAGCACGCAGATTTACTCACGATCGTGACACAATCTCACTCTTCATTGTGGCTGACCCATAGATCTCTATCTGATGTCATTGAACTAGGTGCAACCCTCTGAGGGGATTCCACCCCCCCCCCCCCCCCCCCCCCCCCCCCCCCCCCCACTTTCTGCCTCCATTCATTCTTGCCGGGCTGCGGCTCAGATGGGTTTAGCTTTGTTGCTGGATCCTTCATGGCCGTTCCTAAGTCCCCCAATTTTTTTTATCGGTTCTGCGTTAATAACTCTGCTGCTTTTGGTGTTTTTTGTTCTCCTTCAGGGCCAGTGTCTCATCAATGTAGCTGGGGATGCTGTTCTGATCCACTACCAGTCGCAGCCACCAGACTCTGAACAACTGGAGACTTCATCATCATCATGTTAAATAAACCACTTAAATTCTGTTTGTTTCATTTTTTAAACAGTTGGAGCACTGCAGTGTTCCAGTGCTTTGCTTCCTTCTTAAAACATAACTAAGCATTTTGTCTGTTCTTCCGTGTGTCTTCTGCTAAATGTGGCACATGAGGAAATTATTCTCACGTGGAGAAATCAATGTCCTGAGACCTGTACATCAGATAATTTTCTTTGCTAAGTTTAGCAAGAAAATTCACGTTTCGTGGCCTAAGCACCGCTAACTTTAGCAGGGGGAAACCAATGTAACGTGGTCTATAGAATTTACAGTCCGTCATAGGTTAAGGGTTAAAGGGGTACTCCACCGATTTTTTTAGCTACCTCAACTAACTATATTTTCTGACTCCCCGGCCTTTAGCCTTTCCGGTATGCTATTTAGCATCGCGAAATTCATAACAGGTATTGTGAAATCGACACATGAAATTGGTGCAAAAACCGATATTCAAATATTCGCGCACTTTTCAGTGCCGTGACGTCAGTGGCAGGCAGGCTTGCCAGTCGAGCAAGTAGTCTAAAGAATAGAATATGCCAATCATTTTTTCCGTGCTGGAGCGCGGATACGGGAGCGAGCTTCCAAAGCACTCATTTGACACCAAGAAACTGCTTCAAATCCGTTGGGAACAACTTCTGTAGTCCAAAAAGTTGCGTCTTTTGGCTTTATTAAAAAAATACGCTACTCTGTGGCAAAATATTAATTGGCTAGTCCCCCGACACCATAATAAAGCGCCTGGCAAAAAATGAAAAAAAAATTTTGGGGGGTGTCAGTGTCCCTTTAAAGGGACACTGACAGGGTATTTATGCTCGCCGAGGTTGTTAGTTGTACGTGACATATGAGGGCTCAACTACCCAGAACAGAATTTGCGGCTCGAAATTCCGTTTCTTTCCGCCCGAAAACCGCCGATCAGGAATTGGCCGGTTCGAGTCTCGCTCACTCTCTTTTTCGCGGTCACGGGCCGTTTTCTAAGGTATCGATGCGACCACCAAATTTAATCAAAGTCGTGGGTCACTGAAGGCACATACTCAATATTAAAAATAGAAAAAAATATGAAACCCATTTTTTGTGGCTTCTAAAAAGCTGTAAATACGTTGATTGAAAAAAAAAGTTCCACAGACAACCGGAAGCATTCTGTGCGTTCGTCGTTTCGCGTATCGTGGGACTCGCGGGGACGGCGATGGCAGCGGACGACGGGCGTGGGACCTCTATTTCAGAACTGTCGTTCGCGGTACCGGCGAATTCTGTCTACCGTTAAAAGAGAAATTTGGGACTGATCAAAAGAATTGGTATTCATCCCGTACGACACGCCCGGCCACCAAGCCGATTTGCACGAAGACGTCGCCGAGTCGTCGCTCCCTTCTCGTGGCTGAAGACAACGCTCGCGCAAACGTCAAGCACGACGTGTCTACTTCGAGTTGAATATGCACGCGTACGATTTCTTTACTAGGTGCGAATGTCCCCAAAGCGTGGTGCTTCCCGGCTTCGACCCGGGAGTGCTTTTGTTATAGCGAGTTCGTTTCACTCGCACTGGCACCGTTCGAGTTCTCTCCCAGAATGCATCGCACTCACAGAGTGTTGCATGGAAAACTGGACTCAAACGAACTCGCCAAATGCACCGAGTGCAGAAGGCTGATGCTGCCGCCATCTATGTTGTAGAAAAGGTACCGATTTCAAACCGAAACTAGCGCCTTTCTGTTCGGAGTGATGCGTGGGAATGTGAGAATGTAGTCGCTACCAACGTTTATCTACAAACGTTGGTCACTGAAACCTGTAGTTTATAGTTGCGATAACTTCAAGCAGCTCGGCTGCCGTACAGATAGTTACAGACGGCGTAAATTTCCGCAACCAGCTGTCTACAAAACAGCTGGTTGCTATCTTTCAATTCTTATAACCGTTTACACTGAAGAAAACTGATGATGCTGTCCGAGCAGGAGCTTGATCCGTTTGAGCATGGTATTATGCGTGAACCACTCAAAGGGTACGGCTTAGAACTAGCCTGTTTGAATATCCAGCACTGGGACTTTCGATTTGGATTGCCATTATAGGTAAATTAGATATCAGCCTTAGTGAGGGCGTCGAGAACGAGAGCTTTCTCAAACAAAATATGACGGGGCAAGTTGGCTGACGTAGGTAAATGTTAAACATGATGATGTTTTTATTTATTTATTTATTTATTTATCAATACTGCCAGCCCTTTTAGGGCCAAAGCAGGAGTGGATGATACAGAAATATTGGCACATTTGTCTCTGATACAAATTAAAACAACAATACTTGTGTGCACACACTCTTCTTCTAGCGCACACAACCATAACAATAGCTTAACTTCTAACAAAGCAATATCACTTAATACAAAACATCATCTCCTTATACAATTCAAAAACACAGCAAGTAGAACATTTTAACACTCAAAAACCGCATCTAAGGCATTTGAAAAAATGGAAAAAGAATCAAGATTTACTATTTCACTTGGAAGTTTATTCCATAATTCAATTGTACGCACAAGAAAAGACTGAATGCATTTATTCTAGCATTAATAGGTGCTACCATCTTCGAATGGTGTAGGCGCTGAGAGTGAAATGTTCTTGGCTTTAGGTATTTTGAGCCATCTATTTTTAGGAGGTTATTATATATCTGAAAAAACAACTTCACCCGCTGACATGCCCTTCTGTTTATTAAAAGCTGTAAATTTGCTTTTGTTTTAAGTCCCGTGACCGACGTGGTCCGTCTAAAATCCGAAAAGATTACACGTGCCGCCAGTGATTGTACATCTTCGAGTTCCTTAACAAGACAGCATTGCCAAGGATCCCAGACCGCAGACGCATATTCAAGGATAGGCCTAATAATGGTTTTATATGCTGAAAGTCTAACCGAGGGAGGAGCTCCACCTAGCGTTCTTTTTAGAAACCATAGCTTGTTAGTTGCCCTTTTTCGAATGTATTCCACATGTTTGCTCCATCTTAAATCACTTGCGATAATCACTCCTAAATATTTATAACTCTCAACGTTCGTCAGCTTGAAGCCACAAACAACATAGTTGAATGTCAATACAGTTTTTTTAGTTGAAACATGCATGTACTGCGTTTTGTGAACATTAATCATCATGTTATAATCTTGGCACCACGACGCAATGCCTGATAATGTGCTGCTCAAATTTATCTGGTCTTCGACTGAATATACGGGTGTGTAAATTACGCAGTCATCTGCAAACATTCTTATTTTTATGGGGCCGCTAGTTGAAATTGAAAACAAGCTGTTAACATATATCAAAAAAAGTAAAGGGCCCAAAACCGACCCTTGGGGTACTCCAGAATGAACATCTAACAATCCCGAGAAGGCACCATTTACATCCACGAATTGCTGGCGATTTGTGAGATACGCATTTATCCAGCTGATAATATATGAGGGAACTTCAAGGTCTATTAATACTTTAACTAGTTTACGGTGAGGTACTCGGTCAAAGGCCTTTGATAAATCAATAAACACCGCATCCACCTGGGTTCTGTCATTTACATAGGTTGATAATTCGTGATAAAATTCAATTAACTGAGTCACTGTTGACAGTCCCACACGAAAACCATGTTGGCTGGGGTTAATTGTACCTTTTGATTCGAGGAAAGAAACAAGGTGTTTATTTACGATATGTTCCAACAATTTACAGGATGCACATGTCAGAGAAATGGGACGATAGTTTTCAACCGAGTCACCTTTTCCACTTTTTTTGACGGGAACAACTCTAGCTACTAGCCAGTCATCCGGTAACACCGCATCTTGGATTGATCTAGTGAATATGCATGATAGGTATTTGGCGACCCACTCAGCGTACCTTTGGAGAAATGCGTTAGGTAAAGCGTCCGGTCCGGGTGATTTTTTAGCGTCAAGTCATCGTAACAACGACAGTATACCCTGCTCACATATAAGACTGCTTACGTTATCTCTACATGGGATTGTATTGTGATTACCTGACTCTCTTGTAAACACAGATTGAAAATACCGATTAAATTCAATCGCGATTTTTGCCTTGTCGCTCACTGAGTCGCCGTTAATGCACAACTGGGTGATGCTGCTTCTCACCGGTGATAGATAACGCCAGAACTTTTCGGGGGCAGATAAAAGAAATTCAGGTAATGACTTTGTGAAGTACGTTTCTTTGGCTGACTTTATCTTCCTTTTTAGATTACCAGCCTGCTCACACACATCATGCGAATGGTGCTTGCGGAGCCTTTTCAATTTTCGTTTTGCGTGTAAAATTTCCCTCGTGATCCATGGGTTTTGGCGTTTAATCTTTTTCTGTTTTTGAGGAATAAAATTAATAATGCAATGGTTTACTGCAGATCTAAATCTTAACCACATTTCATTTACATCGGTCATCTGATCGAAGCCGTCGAAATACTGCTCGAGATGGTCAACTATCGACTCGTCATTCGCCCTTTCAAAATCGTAGTACATTTTCACTTGAGCCGGGTTAGCGTGACACACAGGCATGTTACACTTGAAAAATACCATTTTGTGATCAGATATGCCGTCATGGACTAAAACATTGCAGTCATCGAAGTCGTTGCTAACAAACAATAGATCAAGTAAAGAACATGACGTGCCAGTAACACGCGTGGGTTCTGTAACGTTTGATTTCGTTGCCCGCGGGACGCGATTTCTATCAGAAAATCTACTTTTTTCTTTTTCCGTTCGGTTCCGCGACACATCGTAGCAGACGAACCCTCGTCGTCTGCTCCCGCTCCTCGCCGGCCCCGCCGGCCCCGCCGGAGCGAGGCATGACGGGATTGCATTTTGGCGCACTCCCGATTTTCTCGGTGCAGCGAGTGCATGCACGCGTGGGGTGTCAGCGCTGAAACGAACTCGAAGAGTGCAACCACTCGTGGAGTGCCGGCCGAAACGAACCCGATCCACGCTGCGAGTGGGCACGCGTGGGCACGAGTGCCGTGAAACGAACTCGCCATTAGAGAAAAATCGACAGCAAACTTTCAAACTTACAGTTTACCGCC